GCAGCCTCCATATATCTTCTTTTCCTATTTTCTACATTATTCTACGCTACTTTTTACCAGAGAAACAACTCTAGAGCTTTTGGATTATTGTGATTTCAATACTTTGTAATTTTGAGGGAGAAGGATCTCTACAACCTTTGGAGAAGATTTCTAAACCCTCTTGCTTATTATTTATTGATTCAGACATGTTTTCTTCATCCCTAATCTCTGTGTTTTCTCTGTTCATGGCTGAGTAGTCAGCTTGCTTAGTCTAGGGTGTTAGGGTATTTAGATCTATGAGCTATATACAAATAAGGTTCATTATTTGATTGTCTCCATTCATGTTCATACTTATTGCCTGCATTAAACTAGCTAATTAATGCTTGAACCTAGGTTTAATCTAATCATCAAAAGTGTTTTAGGTTGCTAGAAATAACTTGAATGGGCAGTTCGTCCCTAACCAGCGAAAGTAGATGTTAGGGCGTGCTGTGAACTTATCGAATCTGATCTTAATGTTTGCCTTCATGTTTTAGTCCAAACGAGAGTTTAGGTATNTCTCTTTAATCTGAAACCCAAATCAACTTGTTACTTGCTTGTTTCGTTTTCTTTATTTTAAAAACCCCATATTGTTTTAGCTTAATATTGATCCTATAAAAATAAAGTGTAATAATTGGTCTCTGTGGATTCGATCCTCAAGTACTACATCGAACCTCTTATTTGAGAGAGTAGCTTGAAGGTTAATTTGAGTTTATCAGCACTCAAGAGTGTAAGCTATTTCACGATTCTTAAAACTATAATTTTTGTGAAAATAGCATTGTTTTCTACAAGGAAAGTACCTGAACTTTGGTTTGGCCGGTGCTGAAGGCACAGGGGTGAGATCAGCTTTTACTTGTGGAGATGGCACTGGTTGAACCAATCTTTCTCTTCTTCTAAGCAAAGAAACTAAATGGTTTAGATCATTGCACAAAAAAAATAAAACATCACAATCAACTAGATAACAACAAGCAAGAAGGCTAAGTATATACCGGAGATTCGAAGGTTGCATTCATCTATCAGCTTATTGAATTTTGGTTCACTAGTTGGTGCAATGGAACCACCCTTTTCAAGAGATGTTTTCGCAGTTCTATATTCTTCAAGCTTCATACAAGCAGTTCCACACATATATATGAACAAACAAAGGAATCAGATATCTGACTTTAAACACACAATATTAAAAAAAAAAAATACCCTTTTCTTAAGTAAGCTTTGGTCAATAAAGGATCCAACTCAATAGCTTTGTTAGCATCTGCCACTGCTTCTGCTCATCACCCCAACTCAAATCAATCAATCAGTATAAAGTTGCAAACTTTGTTAAAGACTAATCACAAAACTAAGCCCTAAACTTCACACAAGACAACAGGCTTCTCCTTTTATGTTCTCTTATTAACGAAAGTTTCGTCTTTTTCAATTACTGAAGGAAGAAGATGATACCAGTGAAGTTTTGGAGTTTGATGTTGGCCTGAGCACGATCAGCGAAGAACTCTGCGCAATTAGGATCCAAGTCAATGGCTTTGGAGTATAAGTCAACAGCAACATCGAAGTCGTCATCTACGAAAGCCTCTTTAGCCTTGGCTGCAAGTTCCTTAGCCATGTTCGATTTGGTTTTTTGGTTAGATTGAGAGAGAGAATAAGAAGACGATTATTCGAATTGAAGAAGGGGGGGATGGAGTAGAAGACAAGGCTTTGTGCTGTTCCCTCCCAAAAGAACCGAAGTATATAAAAGAACAGAGATTGGATGTTGTCTTTTCCTCTTCTAGATTGTTCTGTTATGGGCCTTTTATATTCAGGTGGTTCAATACAAAAAGAAAAAGAAAAAAACATAGTCAAATGGGTTTAATCTGGGCCGGAATATAAAAGGCCCATTAAAGTTTACAAATTAAATTCTGCCTGTGTAATACTTCTCCCACATCGGAAATCTTGGGATGAGACCACTACTAGTCTATGGTTTAGTATAAAACAAGAAGTGGGTCTGATACTTATCTAGACTGTGCCAACTCATGCTCAAGAAGATGATTGGCCTAAGCTATGTCCTTCATTGCAGACATTGGATGGGTGCTTAGCTTAAGGTCTCTCCATATGTGGGCGAGACCTGTGTTGGCACAGTCCCTTCCATTCCCCAAGAGTTCAATTAGAACAGTAAAATATCCGTATTAATTGCTAGGGTCACTAAACTTTGGGTGGGAAAAGTGTGGATCTCTCTATGTAGAAGCAAGTCACAGACTCACATTAATGGTTCATGGAGGATGTTATTACTGTGACAATTCTTTCATTCAGTTTCAGACTTACAAGAAAGTGTTATATATACGTTTGGGATAACAAGTAGTCTCTGTCCTTAATGATAAACAACTAATGATCTCTACAATACTAACAAATTGATCTTATGATGACTGTACGTAACTACAAGTTGCTCTTTTGATTTCCTTGTCATATACAAAAAAAAATGTCAATTATATAGTAAATGAAGATGTGCTTGACGCATTATTAATAGGGAGATGTAACGTACACGAAGTTGCGTTAGGCCAAAAAAAAAAAAAAAGAATATTGGACATAAAACTTGTCACATGCTTTGCCATCAGGTCCGTCACCGTATTTCTGCTCCAGTTTATCTACTATTACTTCCTTTTATTTCCTATATTGCAATTCTATTTCTTAGTTAACAACGAATCTGACCAAAATTAATATTTATATGTTCAACTGATATGAACTTCTTTGAGACAGATAACCGATTATATTTTTGACTGATTTTCTTACATTAACCGCGACTTATACAAAACTAATAATAACATGGAGGAAAACCGAAATAAACTGTATCAAGTTGAAAACACAATGTGGGTTTACTGTTTAAATATTAGAAAATCTTTTATGTTGGTGGTTTCTTCATTTAGAACAAAAAAAACTTAAATTGTATACAAAAAAAGTCATATTCCAAAAAGGAGTACAATATTATAATCTATACACGCTACCCGTTTTCTAAAACCATGTAGATATAACGTCAATCACCATTGTGAGTTAGAAAAATCCAGTCTAGGATAACCATATAGCATGTGTATAACTGATGTATATGAACTAATACATTCGATATTTCGATGGACCATCACTTGTAGAGTTTCTTTTTATCGTAGAAAAAAAATATGATGAGAAAAAAAAATACGATGAACAAACACGCAAGAAATTTCCACAATAGGCTTGCAAGTAAAGAGGGATGAATAAATTAAATAATTAAGTTTATGACAACTGAAAGGAAAACAAAACCTAACGGCAATTTTTTTATAACGGCAAAATCTTACACTGACGTTTTGAGGAATGGGTGTTAAATATATTATACAGGATACAGCCATTTCTACGGCACGGCATCCCCATATCACTACCACTTGTTCCAGTCAATCAGTTGTTCTCAAACGTGATAAACGCCAGCGATTGCGTTTTCACACATGAACAAGGTAGATTGCTTGATTTCAATTAGATCATTCTTTTTTTACCATAATCTAAGCGAATTTATTTGCACAGTAATGCAGGGAAGCCTTTCTTTTGTATGTATCATTAATAGAGCTTGGATATTTGGATACACTATCTATGAAAGTTGACACATGGTTTTAATATATTATTTTTTTGCTTGTATTTGTATATTCAAAAGTCCAGGCATGGGAACAATAGAATAGTTCTAGACTTCCCTAAACACAAGAGCAAATTTGTTTATATATACTATATCGGCTCCTGATCCTGTTAACATCGGAGAGTACACACTTAGTGATACAAAGTAAACTGGTTAATATACATCGTCTGGTTCCAATTTGGAACATTGTCCGTGTAATACTAAAAAATAGATCAAATCATTTGTTATCTACCATGTTAATTTTTTGACCGATCTCAAATTCAAACTGACCAAACATTGATAATTGAGTTTCAGGACACCAATTTTAAACCAGCAAAAGTACGAAAGACCTTCCCAATTATGTTCGTATGTATCTCTTAAAAAGTCGGTATATATTGCTATTGAAGGAATTATATATCGGACATGAAATGTTTAAAAAGCATACAAAAAATATCGAGAATTCGACCTTCTCCTTAAAATAACGGGTTTAGAATGTCTAGCAGCTTTATTTTACTACCACAAATTTGGTAATTATTTATAGGAACATATTAAAAATCGTACATAAACTTTAAAAAAAAAAACTATAAACTTTAATACACAAGAAAAAAACAAATTTTGGTGGTTAGCAAATAAAATATCATTTAAAATGTCAACAGTAACAACTTGTTTGCGCCGAAAAAAAATAGCAATAACAACTTTTTATTTTTTTTTATTTTTGATAAAGGGTTTAAAAAACAATAACAACTTGCTATATTGCAACCCTTTTATTGTGATTCCATATTCATCTAAACTTAACCCTTGTTGGTAATTTGCATGCACTGTGTCTTTTTTTGGGTCTGAAGCATGCACTGTTTTTTTATTAACAACAGTAAAAAACATGTAACCAAATCTTTATAAGAAAAAAAACAGTGCAGCCAATTAACTTTCTTTTTTAACACAATTAACCAAATCTTTATAAGAAAAAAAAAAAGAGTACTGCTGTACTGCATGCAGCCAATTAACCTAAAATTACGTGAAAACATATCATGCTATGAATTACGTACGCTACTTTACTTGCATGGGACATCTATCTATAAATACGCCCATGAACCATTTCAGCAAAATTAAGATACACCAAAATCCATCACAAAGAAAGAAACATTTCCAAAAGGCAATTATATAGTGATAATAATGGGCAAACTCTTGGTGATAATGCTAGTTTGTATGTTTATGGCTTTCCAAAGCTTGGAAGCTCTTGATTATGGAGATGCACTAAACAAGTCCATCTTGTTCTTCGAAGGCCAACGATCCGGTAAACTACCAGTGAACCAACGTGTCACATGGCGAGCCGATTCTGCCCTCTCTGACGGTCAACCGGATAATGTAAACTTATCCCATTAAGATTTTGGCATTATGTTTTCTACAAACCATATTTCTTGTGTTTTAATTTTGATCATTACAAACTGAAATTCTACTTTCATCATCCAGGTGAATTTGACTGGAGGGTACTATGATGCTGGTGACAATGTAAAATTTGTGTGGCCAATGTCATTTACCACAACCTTATTAAGTTGGGCCGCAATTGAGTACCAAAATGCGACTTCATCCGTAAACCAACTCGGTTATCTTTAGTCCTCTATCAAATGGGGAACCGATTTTATCCTCCGTGCTCATACTTCTCCCACCACGCTATATACACAGGTAAATCCACTTTTTTATTCTTCAGACTCATAAGTATAATCATATCATATATAACCGGTATTCAGGTTAATATGTGCCGGCAGATATGTAAATGCAAGATTAATTTTATTACCCATGTCACACTTAGTTCGTTATGGCTGTTTAATTTTTTAATTTTTTTTCTATATTTTTCATAAAAGGTTGGAGATGGAAATTCAGATCATAGTTGTTGGCAGAGGCCAGAAGATATGGACACACTTAGAACTCTCTACAAGATAACTTCTTCTTCCCCTGGCTCTGAAGCCGCCGGTGAAGCCGCAGCCGCGCTTGCCTCTGCCTCACTTGTTTTCAAGTCTATCGACTCTAATTATTCAACCAATCTACTAAACCATGCTAAAACCGTGAGTACCCAAACTAAACCCAAAAGAATAGCTTATGATCATGACGTTCAATCATGAGTTTTATACCGTGTTTTAGATTATGTATACGATTGGTTATTTGGTTTAACGTGGGTTTGGCTATTTATGCAGCTATTTGACTTTGCTGATCAGTTCAGAGGTTCTTATCAAGCATCTTGCCCTTTCTACTGCTCCTACTCAAGCTACAGGGTAATTAAACATTTAGACCGAACCAAACCAATACACACAGATATATCGAGTTATCTCAAACTACCAACCTCCAAATAAAAGATGTTAATTGTTTCATGTTATATATATGAAATCTCCTTTGCAATGAATTGAAATATACTTCACTGTCAAATGAATGTGTGGTAAATAGGACGAGTTATTATGGGCTGCGGCTTGGCTATACAAAGCAACAGGAGAAAGTAAATACTTAAGTTATGTCATAAGCAATCGAGATTGGAGCCAAGCCGTGAATGAATTCAGCTGGGACAATAAATTCGCCGGAGCTCAGGCTTTACTCGCATCGGTTAGTAATATAGTATATATATAAACTAAGTTCGTTAAATTCTGTAACCAGAAGTATTTTCGGTTTAATTTAATGAATCTTTTCCTGTTGATTTATTTTCTTAAGGAGTTTTACAAAGGGAAAACTGACTTGGGAAAATATAAGAGTGATGTTGAGTCATTCATCTGTGCATTGATGCCTGGAAGTAGCTCTCAGCAAATTAAGCGAACTCCTGGTAAAAATTACCGGTTAACTATAAATTGGGTTGATTTGTTTTAATTTTCGGTTGATGTTATAGTTTTGTAATTATGTTTGTCTGTATTTTTGGTTATTCAGGTGGACTTTTGTTTACTAGAGACAATATCAACTTACAATATGTAACAACGGCAATAACGGTTTTGTTTCAGTACTCAAAAACTCTAACTCAAGCCCAAGTCGGTTCAATCCAGTGCGGGTCAACCAAGTTCACAGTATCTCAAATTCAGAATTTCTCTAAATCACAGGTAAAAATAAGTTACCCTCCTAGGACTTCAACTCCAGTTTTTCTCTTGACAATTTCCGTTTTATTAACCGGCCGGTTTAACTTTTAGGTGGATTATATCCTTGGAAACAATCCAATGAAAACGTCTTACATGGTCGGATTCGGGAGCAAGTACCCAACACAGCTTCATCATAGAGGCTCATCTTTACCGTCTATCAAATCTAAACCGGAGAAAATAACCTGCGGTGGAGGATTTTCATACTACAATTCTGCTCAACCAAACCCGAATGTCCATATCGGGGCAATTGTGGGCGGACCGAATGCAACAGACTATTTTAGCGACAAAAGATCAGATTACTCCCATACAGAGCCCACAACTTACCTCAACGCCGGCGTTATTGGACCTTTAGCTGCTCTGATTGGCCTGAACTCTAGCTAGAGTTCCGGGATCAATTCTACCGGACAATTAGCAAAGAATATTAATTAATACTATATACATCAACAGCTATTAAACATTATATTTGAATAATTAATCATGGAATATACCATACGCTTCAAGTATGATACACACATATATCATTGTATGACAGCTTAATTAAAGTGAAAAGTATTTACTATGTTTTCAATCTTTTTCGATGCTGACCAATGCGTTTATGATAATAACCAGTCTGATTATTGAATGTTAAAGAAAACACTTCACGCACGCTAATTGAAAGTATCACAAAATGCTATAGACAGATTAGTCGCTAAGTTAGGGATTATTTCGGTTATATTAGAATTGAAGAACTCTTTACTCAACCAGGTTAATGATACTATCTCAAACTATCTTATAACCAATGTTCAAAAACTATAAAGAATTTATCATTTCGTTTATATCTTTAAAAAAATATCTTTTAAATTGTATAATTCCATATTTTCTAAGATTCGAATATAAGATATTTTGAGTAGAAAAATTTATAATGAATTATTAGTCAAACTAATAGAAGAGGTTTCCACAATGTCTATAACGATTCACTGAATATAACATTGGAAAATTTAATCACGCGTCTATTTAAAACTAACTGACCATTTATTTGAATATAGTTTCTATGTCAATAATTGAGTTATTAGAAAACTAGTTTTCACATTCATTAAAATACTCAATGCGGCTGAATAGGTGTCAAAACATGACAAAGCGTTTTCTTAACATAGGATTTTATTTGATTAAATATACAGGTTAAGGTGGAAACAAGATGAAAACTACGACGATCTAGTATTATAGAGACTAGACATTGAATGCATTTTCTCAATGGCTGCAATGCAACTGTAATATAAGTTTTAATATATATATACACACCTAACTTTCTCTAGTAATTCCATAAGTACCCATTGATGAACTCTTGGCTATTCAATATTTCATCGAAATCACTCGACAAATCCGTTGGTAAATTGTTACCCGTGCCCACGATTTCTCCGGTTGTTTGGTATGTACTCATTTCTGGAACCTCCATGACTTGAACCACAACAGACGATTCATCACCTGATGTGATCACGGGGTTACTTGTGGGAGAAGAAACCACTTGTTTTTCTGATTTTTTGGTTATGGACGGTTTAGGTTTGGAAGATTTGGCTCGGGTTGTACCGGCTAATGAGTTTCTTCGGGTTGGTATCTCGTGATCGTGCTCATTCGTATACGTTATGGTGAACTTTTCCGGGTTCTGAGGATTTCTTTCGACTTGTTTTCTTGCTAAACACCCCTTTGAGCTGCTGCACCTGTAATAACTCCTGAAGAAAAGCAAAACAAAAATTGAGAGACTAACACCGGTTATGCTTGATTAAGATAAATGTTTAAGATTAGACTTAAACCGGAATTGGTTTAAGACCTTGGGTATGGAGATCCTTTGATGGGTTTCTGTCCGTATTTACGCCATGCCCATGCGTCCGACTGCGACAACAGATTATCTTCCTTCACTAGCTCAACAACTCTCTTCTGCTGGTTCTTCTTGCTGTCCAAATTTATATTATAATATAATTCAACAAATCTCCAAAAGAGACTAAAATGTTTTTTTCTATATATGACTAAAAAGGTAACGACAATTATACATTTATGCTATATATATATATATATATATATATTTTTTATTAAATAATAAACTTTGTAAATAAATAATAATAAAATATTTTCAAAAAAACTTGATTCAATATTCAAAACTTTTTTCGTTTTTCAAAGTTTTTTGATTGAAAAATGGATATTCTGAAATTTGAAAATTCTTTTTTTCGAAAATATTTTTAAAATTATAATTAAAATCTTAATATTTTTTTAAAAAGCTTAACCCCTTCAAAACTTTACCCACAAAGCTAAAACCTAAATCTAGATTAGTTAACCATAGGTTATACCGTATAAGTGTATTTTTACCTCTTTAATAACATTTAGTTTTGGTCATTTTGACCTTTATGTGTTATATATGTGATAAAAAATAGGATTACCATAAGGTATTTCTCTTTAGAAAAGAAAACAAAGTTGAAGATAAAATAATTTTGGTAATTTTACCAAAATAAAACATTTTGGTAACTATGTATATAAGCTATTTTTACCTGTAATGGTAAGTAAAGACAACTCAAAACAGTTTTTATATGATACTTCATAATTTTTCGCATGTTTAAGAACCTCAGGAACTTCAATTATAACTGACCTCTTCGCTTTTGATTCAGGGATTCGGATGTGGTCAGCTCTTGATCCGTTAGCTAGAAGACAACCATGTGTTAGTTGTTTCTTATCATCTTTGGGAACAGAGACGGAGTTCGTGAGGTTTTGTGTGCAGCAAGGGTAAAAAGGCTTGTAGAGTTCACCGAGTTCGTCTAAACCAGTTGTGTCCATTTCATGTTCGTATAAACAATTAGCCGTATCATCTGGAAGACAAAACGAAGGTGAAAATCCGCCGGAGCTTTCGCCGGAAAACGCGTCACCAGAGCAAGAATAGCCTTTGACTATTGCTTCCAGGTCTCCTTCTTCCATATAAGCCATCTCAACCATATATAGATATATCATATATCTCTTTTCAGATTTTGTTTCCTCTTTTATCTTTGACAAGTATTGGGGAGAAAATGCCTTTTGGGCAATATCGGTTTATATAAAGAAGGAAATGAACATTAGAAGCTAATGATTAGATTACTTGTATTTTTTTGGCATTCCCATTTAGTCATTTAACTTTTAAAATGTATTGAGTAGAATTTTGAAAAAGTCAATTCGTACCTAAACTTCGAAAATTTTAATACATCTCCGACAAAATATATCTACTAAAAGTTATCGAACAAAATTCAGAATAATTCATATCTGTTTTATATCAAATATTACATGCATATATATGTATGACGTACAAACACTTTTTATATATAAATGTTTTGTTACTACCAAAACAGACCCTGAAATTTATGAGGACATAGATGAGTTATAAAAGATTTAAACTAAATTTTTTTAATTAAAAATTCTTTTAGAAACCTTTTTCGATGTAATTTTTTTTTCAAAAATGTAGGATCGTTATCTTTGGGTTAGGTTAGGACTGACCCTGATCACTACACACTAATTTCAAACTTGTAAATTATGTGTATTTATTGTGGTACGTAAGTCTAGCTTACCCTATGTTCACGTAACGAGCTGTTCGGTTAAGTTACACTAGAGTTGATTCACGCGTTTACGTGGAGTTAGATTTTATTTTCTTAAAGAATTATTTAATAAATTTTTTAAACATATAAATATAGTTTATTTAAATATTTTTAGATTTATATAATTTTGTCTAGACCCGTAAGAATCTAACTTGAATTATGTCTAAAATTTTGTAATATCCGAATATAGTTTAGTTTTAAAATCTAAAAACCGATATGTATCCAAATGTGTACATGAATGCACATGTTTAATTGATTATGTAAACAAAAAATAATAATTTTTTAACGGGTTTAATTTTTTACTAATGAAACAATTTCAATCAAATATGTGAAATTATTATGGTTAACACGTGTGTCAAATTATTATGGTAAATACAATTAATGAAATAGTTAAAAAAACGAAAATATAAATATATAATAAAATATTTAAAATTGTTAAATTTGTTTTGTGCTTATATAATAAATGATGTCAAATTATTTTGAAATAATCAATTAATAAAACAGTTAACCTAAGTAGAAATAAAGAAATAAAATATGTAGTAAATTTGTTGAAAACAAGATCAGTGTTATTTTGTACTTCATTTTAATAATATAGATAATTTTACAGAATAGTGTTGTAATTATGTTGTATATAGTATAAGCTTCTTTTAATAAAAATATACTTTTTTAAAAACGTTCAATTTCTTTTTAGCGGGTATCATCACTTTATATTAAGCCTTGTAGCAATTAAGGGTGGACACGGATATAATATCCTAATTTTTCGTATCTTTGATTTATTTTGTAGTTTATAAATATATGATTTTCTGATTTATTTTGCTATCCGATTTTTCAGATATCCGATTTGTTTTAGATATTCGCAGGTATTTACAGATATCTCAAGCACATTCTTTAATACAAGTAAGTTTAAAAAGATATTACAAATTTATTTTTTTAAACTGTCTTTTACATAATATAAAATTAAAAATAAAAATTAGTGAAAGTATATTTGCATAAATTTATAAAATTAATCAATCTTTTTAAAATAAAACACAAAACTTTAGAAAAATGTAATTTTATAAAGATTTGATATTCCTTTCTTAATTCAATACATTTATAAGTAATTTTATAAATCAATTTTATAAAATGATATGTAAAATAATAATGATAAATTCCCTAGGATGGACCTAAAAAGTTTTTTGTCTCAAATATAAACCTTAAAAATAAATTTGATCAAAATATACTTAAATATTTATCAAAAATAAGTAAATATACACTTACATCCTTTGGGCTAAATAATCATATAGTTTTGTTTAGAGTTGAGGAGTGGGGTTTTCTTTTAAAAAAAAAACTTAAAATTTTTCAAAATAAAAAATGTTATTTTGGTCATATTCATTTTTGAAATCTATTTTGTGATAAAAATTTAAAAATGGCTATCTGAGAGAATTTTATAGACTTTTTGTTTGGAGTTGAGAAGTGGGTTTTGGGATATGATTTCAATTTTTTTTTTAAAATAAAACATTTTAAATTTCAAAATAAAAAAAATTTGTTTTTGTCATTTTAGTATTTGAGGTCTATTTTGTGATAAAAATTTTAAAATATATATTTGAGAGAATTGCCCAATAATAATCATATAAAATTATACTTTTAAAACTCTATATTTATTAGATATATATACTTCTATTTTTATAAAACTCTATATTTAGTTAGATAGTATTTGGATTTGTTTGGTTTTTAACGGGTATTGAAATTTTAATATTTGCTTTGATTCGATCACTTTTGGATATCCAAAATTTTGGTAGTACTGCCAGCTAAATCAAAGCGAGATTACCAAATCTTCTTTTATAAGAGCATGTTTAATGTTGTTCCTTAGCATAGATCTCTTAGAAAAAATGATAAAAAAAAAAATTGGTGGGGTCCAGCATTTTATTAAGGAATTGGTGTTAGGGACCTAAGCTAAAAGACTAAGTTGTATGCACTGTGTACGAATTCCACTAATATGTAGCAGTCCATAATTAATTCATTTTTTTTCAATTTAAACAAAAAATAAAAATAAAAATTGCCTATGTTCAGTGTCTACATTGAACATGCTCTAAGAATTGCCAGCTCGTCGAACAGGGATAATAACCTTCTTTTATAAGAAAGAGGAATAGTAACTTAACTTGATACATGAATTCTTTTCTTTTTGTCTCAAATATGCTTAAGGTAATTGCTATGTTGTTTCAAGTTCTTAGTTTCCTTATGTTTCCCATAAGTTTGTAATACATTTTAGTCTCTCAGATTTAAATATAGACAAAAATACTTATCTGCTTTCACGTATATTCATATTTCCAATTAATAAACTCGCTGGATTGTTTTAATAAGTTATAGAGTATGAACAATTATTTTAGAATGTGAATGAAGTAGTTTATTAAATATGAGTATATGATAAGACATAGAAAGCATTCAACGCACAGTGCTATTTTATGGCTGTATAGTTTATACTTTAGTGATAAACAAATACGTTTCCATGTCAAGTTAAACTAGCTGTATCAGTCAGTGACATTAAAATGAATATACAAAATTTTGCGTAACGATTATACTCTTCTATACTATTCTAAAGTTATTATATATTTTTATAACCAATCATAACAACACTTGATTTGGGTTAATACTTTCCTCAACATATATGTACGAAAATATTATTTCAATACTTGCTGATGTGAATATTCCATCATATATATATATATATATATATATATATATATATATATATATATATACTTTATTTGTATGTCGACATTGTATATGAAACCATGACAATTGACAACATATGATATACAACATGATAATATTGATTATCTCACCAGAAAAAAAATGAAAAAGAATAAATATATAACCTGTTCGTTTAAATTCTTCGTTTAACGTGTGAACTAAGCATACGTGAGCAAAAAAAAAACTAAGCATACGTGCTTTAACAAAAACAAACATAGCATACGTTCAGTTTATGTTTAATATGAAGTCACCTATGTGCGGTGGCGGACCAAGGATGTTTTTCAACTGGGGTCACTTAAAAATTTTTACTTTTACTTTAGTGGGGTCAAATCAACATGGCTTTTTAACCATTTTATTATAAAAAATCAACGTATTTATAAACAAAATACAGTTTGTGTAAAATTTTAAGGGTGTCATTTGAACCCATATTGCTTCAAGTGTGCCTGCCCTCTGCCTATGTGTCCTCCCTCCATCATGGATTAGTTCACGTTCATATATGTATCCCCTATATATTAATTGAGAAACATTTGAAAAGATGTAACCTCAAATTTGTATTAATTAAAAAGTAACCTTGCTTAGTTGTCAATCAATTATCATATCAATTAAACTGATGTGGCGGCTTTAGGTTCAATTGAAATTTGCTAGGGAAAAATAATTAGAGACGCATATAACGCATGTAACATAGTTTATATAATTATATATATCGCACGCATGTAATGGAAGAAAAGGAAAATATACGATTTGATAACGATTTGCATATATTAACTATAATAACTTCATTCCTTTTAATTTATGGAAGTGTATATGTAAAATGGAAAATATTTAAATTCAAATAATCATAAGGTAATTTATAAATCATTGGTGTAAAGTTTTGTTACACAAATATGCAAATAATCATAAAATCACATGAGTAGAAACCTCATTTAATAAATATCCATATTAAAAGTGTGCTATATTAATATGTTTAAATCACTTAAATTTAATTATATATCATATACAATATATAAGATTGATTATTTTTATTTATTTACCCTAATTGTGAATAAACAAA